AAAAAACAAAAACAAAAAAACCCACCTCTTAATTTCCTCCCCAACAGGCATATTCAGATAGGACACAAGGGAACTTTTTAATAAGATCTCTTCTGGCAGGCCCTGGCCTAGAAACAAGGCTGCAAAGTCCCTTGAACCGTCCTCGTCTCACCAGGTATTCAAGTACGTCCCACAGGACAAGGGTGTCGGGAAAAGGGTTAGGGAAGGGGGAGAAGGGGATGGAAACACAGCCTGGCAGCCAGGCATTCCCTGAGGTGTGCAGGCACAGGGTAGGAGGCTCATGGCAAGAGATCTGCAGCCACACTGCTCCCAAAACTCAGAGCACTGGACAAAAGACACCACCACTAGGATTTTAAGGACAGGGGCTTAGCTACACCATCTCCCTGATGGTAAACCCCCAGGGGAGTCAAGCTTAAACCACAGGTGTCATTTTAGTCCTTCCCTCAGTTCACTGGAGTTAATCCTGTTCAGAAGCTCTAGGCTCTCCACCTGTGATGCACAGCAGGAAGCTGATCGCCAGCTCAGCTGTGATTGAGTGCATGGACTAGAAAGCAGCCAAGAGACCAGCAATGTACAATTGCAACATTTTGAGAGACTGGTCTTTAAACTAGAGATTCCGATAGGTTTCCAAGCAATTTCATAGATTTCCCTCTTTTGCCAGAACTGTGCAAAACCAAAATAGTTAAACGTACGGGAAGCAGGTTCAGTAGCAGACACCAAAATCTGCAAGTTATCTGAGCTGCACATCTGCAAACCTCTGAGGCCACCACAAAGAGCACCAGTACACCGAGTCACTAAAAGGCACTGTCTATAAACCCGTAAAGGTTAAATCTTTAGTGAATTTGTGTTTCTAAAAATTTCTAAATATCTGAAACTGTTGTTTTCACCACACAAACCCAAATTCATTTTCAGTCATTTCTGGGAATCCAGACCAAGGAAAGAATTTCCTTCTTCATCTCGCAGCCCACACACAGCTTCCAAATATGTGTTTATGAGCTTCTGCTGTCTGCATAGTGACCCTGAAAACAGACCAATTACATGGAAAAACTGTTGCTATGAACAGCACCTCGAGGAGCATACGTATGAAACTGAACTGCATACTGTCTTTTCCCTATTTTAAGCAATTCTAGACTTTTGAATTTCTCTTCAACAACCCACCACTTATTCATTTACTGTTTACCATTTTATCATACTAAGGCCAAACCACTTTTATCTTGACAGAAAAGTGCAAAACACATAGAATCAAAATAACTGAGACATGCACGAGCAAAAAACTGAGAATACCAAAGATCATTCCCAAAAAAGTCTCCCATTTAACTCAAGAAGCCAAGTCTGAAGAAAAAAAAAAAACAAATGAGCCTTATCTTGCAAATCAATTATTTATTTTAATTTGCTGTCAAAGTTTACAAGCCAAAGCAGCAGGTAAAGGGCTATGCATTTGTATACACATTTAGCTGCTCCAGGAAAACCCTACCTGATCTCAAGTGAATGAACCTCAACAGTGAAGTTGATACATTTATCAGCCTTGCTTCAGAGAACTGTGATGCACTCTACACCTAATACGTATGATGCCAAAATTCAAGAATTGCCCCTGCTATCACGGGTCAGCCTGCTAATAGGTGTGCTCTGCTCCACCTCGTCAAGGCAGTTTCAAAGTCACTCCAACTACACTGCGGGTCCAGCTCCTGAAATGAGCGTCTGGAGAAACATCAGCTGCAGCACCTGCTCACTGGGACTACAAACCTGGTGCCCAAGGCCCCTTGTCCTGAAGGGACAGGCCAAGGCACAGAATGATTTCTGCATCCAGGCACTGCACCGCATTAGCACCACAATTCAGGGTCAAGAAACTGTGAACTGGGCTTAATTCCTTCATTTATAAACAATCAAATTCCTACAGTTCTATACTTCTGCTTAAAGCAGCTCTATAATTAAGGGAAAAGCAAGCCTTAGCACCTCTCGGTTTCTTACTCCCAAAACAGTTTTTCTGCAGCAGATAATTTCAACAGTTTTCAACAGACAGTACCTACAAAATGCTCCAGGGCACTAGCTTCCTTAGTATTTTACCCACATAGACATTAGTTCAGCATCACTTACTTGAGGTATCTAAGCACTGCCTCACATCACACCTAGGAACATAAGATGTCATCTTTATCCCAGGAGTTATGGTTCAGCTTACGTATTTTCAAAGTCAATTGAGCAAGCAACCTTCAGCAGTTTCTTTAGCAACTTTTACATAGTTTCATCACCCACCTCCCAAAATTACAGGAATAGTTGGTAAGACGTTAGCTGAAGATGTTGTTCTGATCAAGAAACACTGGGCAGATAGCACTGGGATCAGTTTCCTGTGGTATCAATGAGTGGAAGAAAGCATTAGGGTAGATACTTAGATTGAGACATCCGATTACCTTTTCCACACAAAACTCAAGTATTCAGTTATTCAGGCTGATTACAATAAACATAAATGCCAAGGAGAGGCAGTTTTGAACTCAAAATTTTGTTTCTCAGCTATTACTTTTTCCTAATGCTTCTTGGCCTGGGCATCCTCTCTTAGGGGTTACATGATGCTACACTAAAGCATGCCCACAGTCATCTCAAAAGATAATTTTACACAGCTGTGAACCAAATGTTCCTTGGTATTAATCCAAGTCCTTTAACCAAAGCTTTTTAAGTGAGATCTGAAGCCCGTTATCTCTATTCCCATAAAAAAATAAATTCTCACATGACACTGTACAAGCCTTGCTATATGCTCTCAGTTCGCCGGTGAAATATTCCATGTCCTCTCACATTACCTCAGGAGGTAATCAACGAGGGATGATCATCACTGAGCACTAGCAAATTTCAGTGTCCAAGTCTACATAAATGACCAAATAGATAAGCAAAAGCTGCAGATCATCTTGCAACCTAGCACCATCCGAGGCAAGTCAAACAAGTAATTTGTAAAACAAAGTGCACGTTTTCTGAAGCATCCGTTTCAAAAAAATTTGAAAGAAACCAGGAAGCCATCACAAATATGTGTCCAAAACCAGACTTTTAATTTAGTTTAAAACATACATTATGCCATGAATTCATATGGAATAGGCTCCAGCAGCTCTGGCTCCTTGCCATTGGTTCTCACAAAGTGTGCTTCCCTTGGGGGAGCAGGCTGCAAAAAAAGAGAAAACTCACAGAACTGACTCAAAGCAAATTTACATAAAATTTCATTGATATTTAATTGACAGTAATTAACATATCATATAAATTTATATAGCATACTTATCGTTCTAGTCTCTTTAAAGTTTGCTTCAAAGGCTATCAGTAAGACTAAAATTACTTGTGCAAAAGTGCACCTGACTTTCATTGCCTAGGCTTTACCCTCTGCAATTTATTAATCCAAGTTAGCATGAACTCATCTGCACTGTGGTTCCAGAAGGAAGAATCTTTTTCTTCTCTCTGCATTTTAGTTATTTTCTGAAAAGAGACTACTGCAGCTAAATTCACCCATTCCAAAACCAGGGCTTCTGCAATGAATTATCAACCCCCCAGCAGTGATGTCAGAACAGGACATCCGTGGCCATAACCAACAGGACACACAGGATGGTGCAGTTCCACTAAGGCACCAAGAACAAGCAACACCTTAGACACTGTACGTGCTGGCTCCCCACTTAAAGTGAGCAAAGGGAAGCGAACAAAGTTGAGCTGGTAGCCTTAGGCAACTCCAATACAATCTGTCATAGACCTGTTTTTTTCAAAATGCTGTAAGTAGGTTCATTAACGTTTTCTTCATTTTCTTTCAGAAAGGAGACAGAGTTCATTTTATAGCAAAACCCTCTATTGTTTTGAAAGAAAATATTTTTGGCATTTGGATATTTTCCTCTTGTGAACCGAATCAACAATGTGCCAATCACAAAATAAAATAAAAAAGTACCTGACGTTTCAGCTGAACCCAGATGCCTTTTTCTTTTGCTTCCTTTTTCTTCTTTTCATTCTCCTTCACACGCTGCAGGAAGCTGTCCCTGCTCTTTGAATGTTTAATATGCTCAATACGCACATTAATTCTCTTGGCAAGAATCTTGCCCCTAGCACGGGGAGAGGAGAAAAAAAAAAAAAAAAAAAAAGTGCGTGTGTCAACTCACTGCACTTGCCATGTTAAAGCTAGTTTTATGACCATTACACAAATAACTCCAAAAGTTGAATTATAGATAATTTTTCTTTAAACAGCAATCATTCAAAATGCATTGCTGCAGACGTGATTGACTACATGCAAATGATATATAAGTTATGTAACAAAGTATACTAATACATGACAGCATGCTGACAGCTCAGGATTAAAACTCTGGAGAACAACTAATTTTAACCTTGCAGCATACAGAAGGATAATTGTATCTATTAATATTGTACTCACACCAGTTCATGGATGAAAAAGATTGTCCTTTTCTTACTAAACCGTACAAAACACAACTGAACACAACTACAAGGTACTATTAAAATAGATCTCATTCTAAGTGCGACAGCTGGCTGAAAATCTCCTTTAAGTACTCTTGCTGCTCAGAAGATTCAAAATTGTTTCCTCTGACAGGATCCAAAACAAATGATCACCATTTGCTTGGGTTATAAAAAGGACACATACTTTACCCACCTTGAATGACCAATGAAGACAAAAAGTGTCTTAATTGGCAAAGTGAAAGGAGGGTGCCATTACAAACCAACTTATCCAAATAAAAAGGTTTCAATGAACAGAACTGCATGACTTACTTAACCTTCTTGTTCACAATAATGCCCACAGCATGCTGAGTAACGTTATATACCCTT